GGATCGAGTTAACCCAGGCAACTTGCTACTCAAACACAGTCGTGCTTGTGCATTATGCCAGGGCCCAGATGTTGGGACAGGACATGCAAAAATGTGGTTAATATTTGGATGATTAATGTTTCTGCAGGGGAGGTGAAAGGCACTGAATGGTGCGATTGTGGAGAAACTGCTGCAAACTGTACTGTCTAGTGTTTTACACTGATGAGAGCATACAAAGTCATGCCTAACTGACTGAGGCATGGTGGAAACTAAACAAGTGTGGGAATGACCAAGAGGCTGTCAGAGGCGATAAAGAGACTTAATGAAGATCTGCTATGCTGTCAAAACCAGAACACACCAGATTGATACTTGAGCAATATCACAGGAGATAGGAGAGCTGTTGAACTGGATGTAGGCACAGGCTGGGATTTGGTCAGAGGCTGCAGGCTGAGTGCAGAAGCCCTCAACTGCACAACCTCAAGTGTCATACATTGTTTGCATTCAACAGTTCTGCAAGCTAAAAAAAAAAAAAAACTAGTCACAACACCATAACATTATTTTGTCTTTAGCTACTCATGCATGGGTCTATGAGACTAGTTCAGCCACTTCACTGATCCAAAGATATTCCTACTGTCTTAATGTTGCATAACATCTACTCTTCATTGTATCGCCTACATCTGTATGTTTCCATTGAGCATGCAACCACTGAAATAAGTTAAATAGAGGTAGTTTTGACCAAAAATGCAGCAGAGTTAGACGCACAGTTTCGTCTAAGTGCAGACTACTTCATATCAACGGTGTGGGGGGGGGGACCCCTCTTTTAAACGATGAAATTACTCTATCAAGACGGTTGTAGAATCATAACAAACATATCCGAAAAGTAGCATATAGAAAAAAATAACAGCAGGCGTTTAAATCCCATCAAAACAAGTAGATGGCTTGTAAACAGAAAGGGGTGCGAAGTAAACGGCAACACCTGCTGCCCCACCACCAACAACCCGCTGCTGCTGCTGCTGCTGCTGGACCCTCATCAGACAGGCCTCGAAACCGCTTCTTTTCTTCTTCTTTTTAAAAAAAAAAAAGCAACAACAACCACACAAAAACATGTGTCGTGAAATAATGACTCGTCTTTACCTTTGCCATTCTGCCACGCTGTGTACCAGGACAGGCTGAGGAAAGACGTGAAGAAAATAATCGCGGTGGCCACAGTTCCATTTCTGAGCCTCATCTCATTTCAGCGATGCCTCTTCCTCGGCTGTGTGTGTTCGGGGACCCCCGAAAGATGCCGTTGCCTCTCTCTCTCTCTCTCTCTCTCTCCCCGTCCTTTCTCTGCTGCCTTCAGGGTTTCGATTCGGGCGTAGGCGCCGGCATATGGAGGCGTTACACGGTTAAAAACAAAAAAAAAAACAGGTCTGGAAAGAGGAACCGCTGCTTCGAGGCGGGGGGGGGAGACGACTGCTCGGACGTACCCTCCAGTCTTCGGTGCGTCTTGTTAGGAGGGGACTGTGTCTCTTCCTGTACCCCGTCCTACGGCGTTCAGTCACGAGTTTAACCGCCTTCCGTGACCAACAAAAACACAGCTTACATGGTGGTTAAGAAAGAAGAAGAAGAAGAAGAAGAAGAAGAAGCTAGCTGCCGTTACAATCCATCGTAATTATCCGCAGGCAGTCGTTAGCTACAAGTTACAAGTAGAAGGCATTTCTGATTATGAGTGTGTGCGTGTGTGTGTGTGTGTGTGTGTGTGTCAGACGGTTGATCCGCCGGGATTGGCTGACCGGGCTGTGACGGTGTCCCGAACGGCAACGCCTCACATCACGTTGAGTCCACTTCAACCGGCAAAAAAAAAGATTTAAGTCACAAATATAAACGCGAACTAGTCAAAAAATATCATATATATATGATCATTTCAATGCGTTAACCTACAGCACTCTGTGATTCATACGTTCCTGAAGGTTTCAGATTTATAGACGATCTTTGACCGGCGGGTTCTCGCGATATCTGGCACTGGGTACCCTACGCGAGGTTGTAAACAGCGGTTTCATATCAAAGCAATAAATCTTGGAAACACGTGTTTAAATCACAGGTTGCCAAATGATGTAGCCTTGCGGATTGATAACCACTTAAAACACTTTTTTTTAAACGATTGTAACCTTTTAGTTTACCCTTTCAATGCTAACAGATGTAGCATATGTTCTGCAATTCTAAAAAATGTGACGTTAAGAATGTAAATACGTGACGTCACATGGGTTCTAGTTAAATTCCTTTACTTGGTAATGCTGGAACATAACCAGTTAATAAGATTACGTAGCCATTTTTCTTTTTAACTAATGACGTAATGCAGACTCCCATGTGGTATTTGCCATCAATCTTCTGGAATAGGAATATGTTTCACCTATATATTTTTATTTTTATCTTCTTTTACTTCTTACTGTCCTTTTATTTATGCTCTTATCTTAACTCCTCTTATGTTTTAACTTGGTAATTTCTTATCTTACTTACTTTGTCTATTTATGTTTTATATTTATATTTACTTTTTATTAATATTATAGGTTTTTTTTATCCTTTATTCACTTGTTTCTATTTCTTTTCCTGCTCTTACCTTCTTATTGCTGTTCTCTTTTTTCTTTTTTTCAGCTCTTTTAGTTTCTTACATCTTTTTAAATCTTTGGTTCCTCTTGGTCTCAGCTCGTGTTGTTGGGTTCTTGTGATGGTTCTTGTGATGGTTCTTGTGATGGTTCTTGTGTTTCCTGGGTTCTTATGATGGTTCTTGTGATGGTTCTTATGATGGTTCTTGTGATGGTTCTTGTGTTTCCTGGGTTCTTATGATGGTTCTTGTGATGGTTCTTGTGATGGTTCTTGTGTTTCCTGGGTTCTTATGATGGTTCTTGTGATGGTTCTTATGATGGTTCTTATAATGGTTCTTATGATGGTTCTTGTGATGGTTCTTGTGATGGTTCTTATGATGGTTCTTGTGATGGTTCTTGTGATGGTTCTTATGATGGTTCTTATGATGGTTCTTAAGATGGTTCTTGTGATGGTTCTTATGATGGTTCTTGTGATGGTTCTTGTGTTTCCTGGGTTCTTATGATGGTTCTTGTGATGGTTCTTATGATGGTTCTTGTGATGGTTCTTGTGTTGCCTGGGTTCTTATGATGGTTCTTGTGATGGTTCTTGTGATGGTTCTTGTGTTTCCTGGGTTCTTATGATGGTTCTTGTGATGGTTCTTGTGATGGTTCTTGTGTTTCCTGGTTCTTATGATGGTTCTTGTGATGGTTCTTATGATGGTTCTTGTGATGGTTCTTATGATGGTTCTTGTGATGGTTCTTGTGATGGTTCTTGTGATGGTTCTTATGATGGTTCTTATGATGGTTCTTGTGATGGTTCTTGTGTTTCCTGGGTTCTTATGATGGTTCTTGTGATGGTTCTTGTGATGGTTCTTATGATGGTTCTTGTGATGGTTCTTGTGATGGTTCTTGTGATGGTTCTTGTGATGGTTCTTATGATGGTTCTTGTGATGGTTCTTGTGTTTCCTGGGTTCTTATGATGGTTCTTGTGATGGTTCTTGTGATGGTTCTTGTGATGGTTCTTGTGTTTCCTGGGTTCTTATGATGGTTCTTGTGATGGTTCTTATGATGGTTCTTATAATGGTTCTTATGATGGTTCTTGTGATGGTTCTTGTGATGGTTCTTATGATGGTTCTTGTGATGGTTCTTATGATGGTTCTTATGATGGTTCTTGTGATGGTCGGGTTCTATATGTCTGTTGGGTTCTTTTCTGTTGAATTGTATTTAATTATTTTTAGTATTTAGTATTTGTTATGTTCTTGTTGTTGTTTATGTTCTTCTGTGTTTGGTTTAGTTTGTTCTTGTTTTTGCTGTTTGTCAAAGCACTTTGTAAACCTGTGTTTTTAAAAGGTGCTATATAAATAAAGTTATTATTATTATTATTATTATATCTGACATGTTAACTGAATAAGCGTTGATTTGTTAGCTACAGAGATCTAGAAAAAAAGTTACAACCCCAATTTCTATCCCCTTAGGAAAACAAAACACACATTTTCCACTTACTTTAAAAATGATAGGCTGTCCACTTCCATCAACACACACTTTAAACTTTATTATCCATATCCTGCCTCTGTTTTGACTTCCAACGGTTTTACTTTCCACTAAACTAGCCCAAGTATTTATGATAAATAGGGTAAACAAGTCTTCCGGTCATAGTCTCCATTTCAAAATAAAACTGCAACACATAATTTGAGTCTGACATGAAGTCACTCAGACAACTCTGCTGATTATTGATTCCTTGTTTCTTATTGCAGTGTAGCCTACCGTGTCAGAGTTCATATTAAAAATAGAACATTACATGTTGAAACACTCAACAGGAAACTAAAACTGATGACGTGTGTGGCTTGATCATGTAATTTACCTGAAACGGTGACCAACTTCTGTTTTCCTCGGAACAGTGATTTTTAACTGTACAAGTGTTCAGGGCTCCATCTAGTGGGCAAACTGTATTAATGTAGATGTCTTATGTATCTGTCCCAATGCCTCAGCCACTAGCACTCCCTCATAAAAGACAAGAGCATGGACCTATCATTTGATGAGCCTTGAAACACCAACAAACATCCTCCAATTTGAAGATTAGCTTTCAAATGTTGAAATGACAGTCACAGATTCTGATAACAAATATGGGGAGAGAAGAACATTGTTAGAACACTTTTCCCTTTTTTGTACTTTGAAACATCCGAGAAGTTGGTCTTGGTTTTGAGAACGGAGCAGACAGAACTAACGTTTAAAAAAATGTTGAGAAGTTAAAGTACCGTAAGAGCTCAGAAATAAACATTAGACCTTGCAGTGACATTTTTTTCAGCATTTAGCATTTTAAGGACACTACATTAATGAAACAATTACAATTGTGTTTGCTCCTATTTGTTTATTTTCCAATCAGCACATTTAAAATCAACCCTCCAAAAAATAGAAATCAGTGTTTTTAAAAGATTATATTACACATGACACATGATCTGTGATTATCACATCACTGCCTTCTTTACTTTGAATACATTCAAACATCAAATCTGAGGAATCTGAAGAACTGATTTTCTGAGACGAGACAAGCAAAAATAGTGAGGAGTGTTTACCTTCACTAATTAAAAAGCAATGGTATTGTAAATATTCTGTGCACATTGCTGCTTTTGGGATTTCTTGCCCCCGTCAGTCGTGACACAGAGGAGTAGACGGCTGAACTGGTCTGGCATAGGCTGAAGGGATATCCTCAAAAAGGCATCGCTTTAAAGTAGTCCTCCAGTGGAATGAGTGATACACCTCCAATCCAGTCCTGCAACCACACCTGGATCAACTCCAGCTTCATGAAGAACCACTTGTGTCCCACTGGCCACTTTGCCATCACAGGATGTCTGCAGAAAGAGGGAAATACATGAAAATGAAGCTGCAAATTAGATTTTTGCTCATTTTCCAGGTTGAATGAGCCATCTTGTAGTTCCACACAACAACAGGTTCCATAAGCCAATTTACCTTGAGAACACTGCCTCCTTTGCAAATGCGAGCTCCTCTGGGACCACCTCTACCATCTTGCCTGTTAGGGTGAGTCGAGCACATCTTGGATCCTCTGGATCATACACCATCTGCCTTGAAAGACAAGAGGACTTATCCTTTGCTGCTAGCTGATAAGGGACATCGTTTGTTTGGTACCTTCATTAGCACAGTACATTGAACGTTGGAGCTTACCTGCAGAATTCTCCCTCAGCCTCAGAGAAAGTCAGGGAGGCATAGGGGTTATTTTTCAAGTCAGCTACTGTGTTGTCCATTGGAGTTACATAAAAATAGATAACCCCAGTGCTGTTGTCCAGTGGTCCATCGCTGACTGAGAAGATGTTCCCAAAAGGGAGACCTTTGATCTGGGCAGGGAAAAATAAGACATTGTTTTTAACAGGATGTCCAGTCCATGCATTTACTGTTCCAGAAGTATTTAAAACAGTGTTCAATTGATTTTAACTTAAAAAAGATTTCGCAGACTGGATCTTGGGGAGGTCCCAGGCTTTAGCTCCCACTTCAGTGATTTCCTACATATTGGTCAATTGACATATTCAAGATGGTCTTTTGTATGTTTACTCAGACGCAATTCCTGGACAAAAGTTTATAGAATAAATGAAGGGGAGATAAAGGCAATATTTTAATCGGAGGTGTGGTGGAGTGAAGACATAAAGTCGCATTCATAGAAAATATTCAAGTAAACTTAGAGTAAATCAGTGCTTATTTACTTTGTATTTAATATTATATTGTGTTTAAATTTGCTCATATTGTGTTTTTTGTTAATACTGTGTGTTTGGACAACCTGCTGCTGTAACGCCACAATTTCCCAGTTTGGGATCAATAAAGTAATTCTATTCTATTCTATCAAAATTGAACTTGTGCACAGTAACTAATTACTAACGACTGCAGTAATGGCTGTCCTGGGGATCTCTTACTGTTAGCATGATGTGTACATAAGTATTAACCTCCCTAACTTTATAATATTAGATCAATATTATATTTTAATATTTTTAGTGTTATAACCTGGAATTAAAATAGACTTAGTCTAATTGACTTTTATTTACAATTTGATTGACTTAACAGCAGTCAAACAAGCAGGACACAACATGAAGGCATGTGGTTGGGTCTGATCTTATTTTTTTCAGCAAACACATCCAAACTTTTCTTTTTTGTTTGTTTGTAATTTATTATGAATGTCTACTCTCCCCCCTCCTACAAACAATGGGCTGCAGGGTGTTGGTCCAAAACATGTTACCCCCAACCAGTGGCGGTTCGAGACCACTTTTACAGAGGGGGCCAAACTGGGGCCAGTTTGTTTTGTCAGAGGGGAACATTAAACCCAGGTGAGAAATAGACAAAGATGATTGCTTTCAAAAAATATATATATTATGCCAAACAAAAACGCACATCATTAAATACCACAACGTAAAATACCATGATTTATATTTGTTTAAGTAACAGTATTTAATATTAGATTGTGAGCCCGGTTGAGTCAGATACAGTGTATGTGTTATGAGGGGGGCTCTTCCTTTTGAAAGGGGTGGCCAAAGGGGGGACCAAGCTCAGTGTTACAGGGGCCCCTGTTGGCCCCTGTTGGCCCCTGCCCCCAACACAAACCATTTTTAATTTTTAACCCAGCTAAAAGTTCAGAGGGTTCCTTGGCTTGTCTTGTTTCTAACCCTGAAAGAGTGAAAGTAGCCCACCACCACTGCCCCCTGAAGTCCTATCTGTTACCTTGTCTTGAGTTGAAATGGTGGCTAGATGTCCCCAGTCGCTGTTGTGAGCTATGTATCTAGCGGTCCTGGCGGTCTCCTGGTGCGGTGGAGGACCGCCGCTGCTGGAAGACTTCACCTTATCCAGCCGATAAGAGAACAGACGAGAGGACAGCTGCGCCACATTGTCGTCCTCCTCCTCCTTGACCAGCTCTGCGGGGCTCTCGACGCTGTCTCCCCCGAGGACGACGTTTGAAGATGGGTAAGCCTGCTTCCACAGCGCCGCGCCGTCCACCAGCAGAGCCGGAGCGACCTCCTCCGACAGGTCCGCGTCCTCCACCACGTCGTTGGAGGAGACGACCCAGGACACGGAGCTCCTCAGGGTGTAGCTCAGACACAGGTACAAGACATTGGCAAGGACTGCCAGGGAGAAGAAAGGGACCCTCATATCACACAGGAGCTCGGACAATGGCCGCCCAGCTCTTCCAAAGTCTTGTTTACAACCTCACGTGTTTGAAGCCCCGATAACCACATGCAGCTCTCACCCAGACATGACACAGAGAAGCTGCAAGCGACGAGAACTAGATCTGACTTAGTTCTTAAAACGGACTCTACCCCCCCTTCAACTCTGTAGAAAAAGCCTGTGTGGTATCACTGTTCGATAACAGACTTATGTTATGGTCAGGCTACATTATCGTGTTTTCATAACACAAGGTGACTTTGCAACAGCAGCGCCCCCTACTGCCTACCAGGGGAAAAAACTATTTTACTTATTCTTATTGTATTTTACTGCAGCCTGTGCGTTTTGTATGGAAGCCCATTTCCGCCAGTAAAAAATAAAATAAAAAATAAAATAAAAAATAATTTCGAAATTATGAGATAAAGATCAAAATGTTCTCTTTGTTTATCGTGTCCCTTGCTCTATGAGGGACAAACATGACTAAAGTATAAATAAATAAATGTTGGGAGAAATGCATACAATAATGTATAAATAAATAAATAAATGCATCAATAAATATATAAATGCTGAAAACAATACATCAATGAATAAATAATAATACACTTTGTTAATGAAAAAGGCTATTTATATATTTTTACATGTATTTATTAGCATATTTCTACAGTTATATATGTATCAATGCATACATTTCCACATTAATTGAGTTATTAATTTGTTTCCGTATTTTTACATTTACACATCTATTTATTTCTGTGTCCAGGTTGTAAGAGGAAAAGTATTTATGTAAATTTGCTTCTGTCTGTTTTTCAAAATTGACCAATCCTACTTCAGTAATGTTAGGATGGCCCACTTAATTTACATATTTACTTTTCCTTGTACAACATGGAAATACATAAATAAATATATGAATATATGAATATATTTATTGATATATTAATTTTTATATGAATTGTTGCATTTATATATATATATATTTATTTATTTATTGATGCATTTATTTAATTATTTATTTATTTATACATTATTGTATGCATTTCTCCCAACATTTATTTCTTTATACTTTAGTCATTTTTTGTCCCTCATATTGCTCAAGTGGTTTATTCCATGACTTCTGCTCCAGGGGCCTGTATGTACATTCCTTGAATGTAGTCTTCAATGTGATCACGATGCATCCTTGAATGTCTTAGTTATGTATTTATTGACGTATTTATTTCTGTTGTCCTGAGACTGAGCTTTTTATCTGGCCCTTGTGGGTGTCATTGCCCAAACAGACAATGCGAGGGTATCATCATGCCAACGCTTACCTTTGCCAAATACTGATTTGTTTGTTGTCTCTGATTAGTCTCCTTCTGTTGTTTGTTTGCAAATGTAGTAAACGTTAGATGCATAATAAATAGTTATGTCTTTTAATCTAGTTGTCGTTGGAACTAAACACATTAGATTACTGTTTATGTAGCATTGACTGTACCGTTTAACTGTCAGTGTGTCACACAGTTATTTTGTAGGCTAAAGTTCACGGTAGTTGATGGTGTCCCTGACTTTATTATCTCATAATTTCGACTTTATTATTTTCATTTTTATTTTTTTAACTGGCGGAAATGGGCTTCCCTAGTTTAAGTGGTGGTAGTTAAACAAGCTCGAGTAAAGTAATAGACATAGTTGAAATGTTTTTATTGCCTAAATGGTTTGTACAAAGTAATATTTATATGTTCCTATTTCATGAAAGACTTCAGACACACAATCTACACAGAGGACATTATTTGACTTTTAGACAATTATAGTATAAATATAGTGTAATCATAAAGCAAATGAAAGAGTAATTGGCATATTCTATTGATGTAGGGTATAGCTCTGCATGAGGTTAAATAAATTAGTTCTACATTTCTTTATGGATACATTATATGTATATATATATATATATATATATATATATATATATATATATATATTTATGTGTGTGTATGTATGTGAGCTCAGAAGTCCCTGAGCTTACTTTAGCTTTGACCCGAACTCCCCAAGAAATGTTTTCAAGGAATGCTAGTTAGAACTTGAATTAGATGTTTTTCCAAATCTGCTTTTATTTGCCTCATGAACTTTGTTAAAAAGTTGTTTTGAAAAATCACGTCATACATAGGTCTATATGTTCTGAATTATTGTTTTATTTAGAGATGCACGATCCACTTTTTTTCAGTTCCGATTTGATTCCCATGCAGCCGACCGATACCGATACTGATTCCCATATCTTTTTGAATCATAATTATTAGTGTTATTGTCGTTGTTGGTATCATGTATAAAGCTACACAAAGCTATAGTAAACCCAGCATTGCATTTCTCATTGAAGGAGAAAAACATTTTTGTTTTTTTTAATTAAACATTGTTGGAGCTATTTAATTGTGGTTAGAATTAGTTTTGGTATTTAGTTTACTAATATTTGGTGTTGTTTATTTAATTATTCTACACATTTTCTTTATTTAGAATAGATATTTGGGTAATATTTTCTTTTGCTAGTTATTTGTTTATTAAATTTAGTTTTGCATTAGTATTTTTGTTAGGTATTTGGGTAACACTGTGGGCACCAGAGGTTATCTAAGTAAGAGGCAGGTAGAGGACCAGCATGCACCTGGGTGGGCCTATGGTTTTTTACAAGAGCAAGAGAGACAGCAGGAGCCACGATTTACAAGAATTGTACTTTTGATATAAGGAGCTGTCCCGTGTCCTCTGAACATCTTGATGGAGATGATTTGTGGACACTTCTTTACAGTTCTTTTTGAAAGTCTTGAACGTGAGACTTCAGTAGTTGAGAATGTTTAAAGTGCCCTACCATCTTTCTTGATCGGTGACGTGGATTGGCAGCATCATCGATATCCGAGATGTAAATTTGGTCCATATCAGACCTGATACCAATATTAGATCAGATCTGTCCCATTTAGTTTTATTTAGTCATATAAGTTATTAACCGATGCTTAGTCATCTGGACATGTGGCACAAACACTTACCTTAAATTGTTTTTATTTAATATCACTATTAACAGCAGTGACATGCTGAATCACATAAAACTTTATTCAGAAGTACCATTGATAGTATTTATGGTTCACACTGACTATAATTAACTTTTCAATATACACTTTCTCTCTGAATATTATATTAACACTTTAAAATTAAATAAGATTAAGTAGGCAAACTTAGAAACCTAAAAAAACAAAAAGTTGAATCAACACAATTCTGCTGGACTCAACTAAAATTTAACATTACTTTTTGTCTGAAGGGCATTTTGTATAACTGTCTGTTCCTCCTCTCAATCCATGGATTTATCACTCCAGGCCATTGACTTTCTCTTTGCCAGTTCCATCCAGGACGGCTGTCCGCTGTCAGATATGGACTGTAATGATGATGGCAGCGTCGGTGACATTGAGTGCGCTGGAGATGACAACACATTCTTCCGCAGCCATTTCTCGTCACAAGGTTTGTCTGGAATTTTGGTGGGACTCAACTCTGGGGGGAAAAAAAAGTGTGTCATATAGCTGCACAGACAAATAAAGTGTTAATACTGATGCAATTTAAATAAAAGTGTACCAAACACACACCTGCTGGTTTGACCCATTGTTTCCCCTCTGCTTTAACGTCTTTGATCAGAGGTGCCGGTTTGGCTGAAGCTGGGGTTTCACCCGAGGTCTGCTCTGTTGGACTTTTCCTCAACTCAACCTGAGAAAAGCTGTGTGTTAGAACATCTGTTGGAAAATTTGTCAATTTAGAAAAAATAGTAGTTGGAAAACAATAATCTGGATTTTCTATGTTAAATTAGTTTTCAACAAATCCTAAGAAAAGACCGACAACTGCTCCAAAAAAGATCCTACTATCAAAATCGTATGTTTAGCCCCGATGTAGCCTCCTCCACACAAAAGGTCTTCGAGTTCAGAACTATTAAAAACACATCAGTGAGTTGCCATGTTGCATAATTTAGAGTCAACACACTGTCCTTCTACTGTAAATACTCACTAGCTTACCAATGCAGAGGATAGAAGTAGTCACCACAAATGTACTGCATACTTTCATTTGAGTAATGTTGGCTAAGAAATACAGTGCACAGCTTTTGTAGGATGTTGTTGACGATACAGATCTATTCTTTTCTATTCTACATCTGCTCGGTCGGGAGAGGAGGCTTAAAGAGACAGTACCTAAAGTCACCTGTTTCAGAGTGAAAGTCTGAAACTCATCATAATGTGGCTTTAACCTGATGTGCAGATTTACATCCTGGTCACTGACAAGAAGTAGACGTATGTTCAACACAAAGCCTTGATTTTACTTCCTGTGTTTCAAAAACGATCCTGAGTGCAACGAGGTCTAAAGGGTTAACTCTTACTCTTCATTATCTCTTTCTAACCCATCCATTCTTCCTGGAGGCCTCTCTGTCTGACATGTAATCCCTCCGATTGTCCCTCCATCCATCCTCCCTGCAGCTTGATTTCCCTTTTAAACTAGAAAATACATCAGTGATGAATTTATAAATATATTACTCCTAAAAAAATTGACTTGAGTCTGGATGCCCACAGCAGGGAGAATGTATTAAGAAACAGACTATCACATCTTTTTAGTCTTTTCATAGGATCTGTTGACAAAGAGAGTGAAGAATATTGTCAGCCTTAACCGTTATTGATTTCCAGCTCTACGCTGTATAAAAAGATCATTTCATAGAACTAGCACAAACCCCCTTGGTTGTTGGTGAGGTTATCCGCTCCGCCCTTTTCTCCAAAAAAGCAGCCCTCTTGCTTACTGACAGGGGTGCGACCTCTTTTTCCTGCACTACAGTTTCTTTGTCTCCTCCTCCCGATGCAGAATCTGGAGGAGATGTAGCTGGACAGGGTGTAGAAACTGATGTTAGAGCTGGAGACGCGGACTTGAGCTGGTTGCTCCAGGGGGACTGCTGCTGCTGGCCCAAGTTAAGGGAGGATTGCGCAAGAGACTGTGTGGTGCTCCCTTGTGCTGCAAACTGAGATGTGGTCTGGGTTTTTGTAGCAGAGTGCAGGGGTGATTGGGTCGTCTGTGTGTTTATCTTCACAGCTGCAGACGGAGTTGTACTCGTGTGTGTCTGGGGTTGTTGACTGGTTTGTTTGGATGCTTGTGGTTCTCTAGAAGTGGCCAATTTAACAGGAGACGCCATGGAGGTCTTCTGCTGTGCGGCCACCAGTGACGGTTTGACAACATGTGCTTCACTTTGCGCCGCTTCTGCCCCGACTCCATCAATTGACGGCTGTTT